TAGGGCAAGCAGAATGGCAGTTTATCAAAGTCTTCAGGGATATAGGCAATTCTTTAAACACATATTTACTGGATGAGCTGATGAAAATTATTTTCCCAACACTGCAGCTATAACTCTTGCCAGTCCACATCTGCAGAACCCTAGCATCAGTACTTCATTAGGCATACCTTGGTGCATAATTGAAAGACTATTTATCTTCCTCAAACTCTTCACCCAAGAAGATTTAGATGTAAAGAAGAGATATGTGCAGAAAAATCTGCTTCATGACTTATTGCTAAGACTGAAACTAAGCATATGAGCAATGTTGGTGAGACAGCAAAGTTGAATTGCTATTTCTGGCAGCAGATGTCAGTAGGACTCCAACAGCTTTAGGCAAAGCAGGAGCATATCTCCAGTGACATGGGGATTAGCAGCTCCATTCCCCTTTTAGAGGAGGTTACTCCTTTCTGAGTCAGTACACTGACCTCCTGAATCCTATTATTGAAGCGCTTTGTTCTGGTCAAACAAAAGAATAGTAATATGCTGGTAATTCTCTTTGACAAGTCTAGCTCTACTTCTGCCTGTAAGCCACATGTCTCTGCAGTCCACTAACCTGTCAAACCAGCAACACCGATCCAAACTTTGTTAATCAATTCCAGAGTAATCCAAACCAAAGTCTGAACTCAGCAACCCAGCCACAACCAGCTCTAAACAAAGGAGTTAAAAAAAAAAAAAGGGACAGAAACAACAGTCAATATGTAAGAATTGATACTTGGGGAGAAATTTTATACTAACGTTGTTACCATGTTAGCAACAGCAGACGTGCTCCAAGTCACCCTAAGGGCTATAGTAATTAACACAACAGCTATCTATTATTTATAAAAAACTGAGAATGGTCCTGCTCTCCTTCAAGAGGACTAGGCAACACTCTGGATTTAAGTTTGACTGAATTCTCTGCTTAATCTACAGCAAACAGGAGTGGTCCAAGAAATTCTCACTATAAAGAACTTCATACTCTGCATCTTCTGTAGCTTAGGTCAAGTGCATCTGTCAGCCATCTTCCCCACTCCTTCCCACTGGAAGTCCAAGAGCCTCCACATATTGCACCTGTTTCTCTTTACTGCCAGAGCAATACACAGCCCTGCAAGCTTTGTACCCTTTCCTCCCCCATACCAGGGAGTTATGAGTCTCTATTTTCATATAGCACTTTTACTTCTTTGGCACGATGGAAGCCCTTTAATGTGTTGATTTTTTAGTTTCCCCTTAGGAGAAGGAGAAAAGCCAAAAGACAAACATCACCAAGGTGAATAAAAAAACCCACAGGCATAATCAGTTATATTTTAAATTATCCATGCTACAGACTTGCACACCCAGTGGTTTTGGCTTGGCAGCTGGACTCCTGCTACATTAACTCTCCTGAGTACACCTCAAGCTACCACCAACATGCAACTGTGTTCTCTCTGCTTCTAACAAAGGGATAAATGTCAAGTTAGTGGCTCAGATTCATCTCTGACAGTCTGGTATAGACTAGTGATACTATCTGCCTCTGAGCTCCCTCCTCATATTTCAGCCTAAGCATAAACAGGCTGTTCATTGACAGTCATCATTTTAGGCAGCCAAGAATTTATCATACCATGTAGGTATAGTCACAGTCTCTTTAAAGGGAGGGATCTCCCCTAAAAAAAATAGAAAGCAGAGCAGCAGCTCAAGACACTGAAGATAGGACTACAGAAGAACAGAAAATAGAGTGGAAGGAACAATAAAATTCCCTCCCAAAGACACCAGCCAGTGAAAGCACTATGCAAAACAGCGTAAAAAGGAGGAAACAAAGGTCTAGTGTTCTCACTCTCTGATGTGTCTTGAGCACTATCAATGGAAGTCATTACATCAGGCATACAAATGTATGAAAAGCCATGTGATTGCTTGATATTCAAAGGACATACAGACAAGACTAAAATAATCAAATGCAGTGCATGCATCTTACTACCCAAATGCTACATTTTAGAGGAGACTTCAGAGCACCTTAATTTTATGCAGGTTGAATTGAATTTGAATATACAAATGAAAAATTAATAAATCAAGCTTTACAGTTTCAGGCAAACAGAAGAATCTGATCACTAGAAATCTCTTCTACTTGAAATAAGTGAGGGCAATTTTATTTGAGGGTTACTGTTAATACAGAGGTTTCATTACAGGAACACTACCTCTTTCCGCCATCTGTACTTACTTAGACTGCCCAGAGTCCACCCTTGCTCTTCCACAGAGAAGCATCATTCCACAGCTGGCCTCATACCTGGCTCCAAGTTTGCAGTGACAAGGAAAATCATGTTTACAGCACTCCCTCATATCCCTGTGTGTAATGAGGGCATGCAACACCAGCAATAAAAAACACCTTTCCCCCCCCCCCCCCAGCTCCAACCCAATGGACACAAATGCTTCAGAAGTAACCAGTTCAGGCAGAAGAACAGAAACCCTGTATCTTAGATAAACATTATTTCCTCTTAAAGGAGAAACCTGGTCTGCTGCAGTATTATTTACCTGCTCCTGGAAAACAAGCCAACAAGGTCCCATGAAAATTATTAATTTTTTTAACATATCAGATAAATAGAATATCTAAGTTAATAAGGAGAGTAATACTGTGGCTCTCCTGCCTTCTTCAATGTATGAGAAGAAAATTCATAGTGTTAGAAAGACAAAGAAAAAAGCAGCTAAAGTTTTACTGCCAGTTCAGCGTGCCACATGAGTCCAAGCAATGGCACTATTATCACAGTACTACATGCAAGCTAACCTGCCAGCCCAAGGAAGAAAAATAAACAGCCCACACACAAAAATAATAATTTGTTAAATTTCCATGAACAACAGATGTGCACAATACAACACGCTACACGGCAGAATCCTCCTCAATCTACCACCCTGCCCTCAAGCAGATTGTCTTTGCAACATAAACTACTCCTCTGTGTATGCTGGTGACTACCATTGTTTCAGGATGGGCCCTGATAGCAGAACCTGCTAACAGTCCCTGTTCTATCTGAACCTGTTCAGAAGACAAGATGCAGATTTCTGCAGCAATAAACATCAACACCAACTGAAAAAAAAAACAAACAAACAAAAAAAAAAAAAAAAAACAAACCAAAAAAAAAAAAAAAACAAAAAACAAGCAAAAAAAAAAAAAAAAACAACAACTACCCCCGTGGAAAAGTATGTCAACAGCAGGAAACTGAAACTGCAGGAGGAAGAAATTACAGAGCCTTTAAAAATTGTAAGGGAACAGCAAGAAAATATCTCCACGCGCATCACTAATTAACAAGTACACAGTCCATAAGCAACTACACAGTTAAAGTATTTTTCACCTTGCACTTATTTTTTAGTTTAGCTTGCTTCATTTCTATCCCCACAGCTTCTTGTTACTGGAACGCAGAAAGGGCTTGTGTTCTCCTTTTTTTCTACCTTCTCCAAGTTCCTACAGAAGTAAGCTTGTGTCATGCAAATTAGGGGTTTTTTTCCTAGTTTTTGGCGGAGTTTTTTTTGCAAAAGACCTCTTACAAAATGGAAGTATTAGATCTAAAGTACCTGAAGGAGAACCCGAAACTGTACAGTATAAAATAGTCAAAATTTCTGCCTACAGTCTCATCTAGAATAACATCCTCCTTTCAATAAATAAACTCTAAGATCAGTAACATCCAGATCTGCTTTTATTCCAGTATATAAGACCCCTTTTAGACACATTCTTCCATGTTTGTAGAGGTTATAGATCATGCTCACTAGACTTCAAATATTGCCAAGGATGGTATACGTCTCAACTTTGTGCAAAACACAGCAAAAGAACGTCTACTCATTTGATTGCAAACTAGGACTTTTCAACTTGTAACTCTATGAAGGATAAGCCTACAGGGCTGCATAGAACAACAGCTTCTGTTTTAAAGAGGTTTCATAATTTAGAGTAAGTTTGCTAGAGGGTGACTAGGCAATTACATTTCCTCTGCACGCATCTAAACTCCACTGATCACACATGGAGCAGATAACAGTTCTTTCTGTGGTCCACCCCTGCAATCCATCCCCATCATACAGTTTTCAGTAACACTTTTTAAAGATTCTCCAAGTCAAAGTTCAGCTTTACAAGTTTCTATCCCTCATGTCCTGTCTCTAATAACCATGACACAGTTTTCTGCAGGTCTCAGCTTGAGGAAGCAATAGATGGGAGAAGCTGAAACACAAATAAGCACATGGATTTGCTTGAATAATGGTGGTGGTAACAGTGAAAAGACCAGAAACTTTCCATTTGTACAGTGCTATTTGCAAGTGTTTTCAAAGCAAGACTTCAGACAAGACCTCATACACAAATCTGAGTCTTTCTCCAGAAAGTTCCGACTTTCATCATTTGAAAGCGTGCAAGTATTTTAGGAACAAGCCAAGTAGTCGGTAATGAATATAGAAAAAGGAAACGCGCGATGTGAGAAATCGAAGAACACGGTGTAGGGTATTACTTGACTGGATACCCCGAGCGCACGGCACGTCTTAAACGGCCTCGCGTTCCTCTGGCTTTCCGTGAGCCCCGGCGCGCTCAGGGCGCCAACACAGAGCCCACCCGAGCACGCCCGGCAGCCTCTGGGGAGCCGGAGCACCCCGGTGGGCGGGCGGGAGCCCCGGGGACAGCCCCCCCTCCCCGGGAGCGGCGGCACGGCCGCACAGCAGCGGCTATGCGGCAAGCCTCTCCGCCCCGCTGCCGCTGAAACGCGGCGAGCATCGCCTTCCCCCCGGGCACCGCTGGCTCGGCGGCGGGGATCCGGGTTTCGTGAGCCACTGGAAAAAAGCGTTTCAACCCCACCCCGCCCCCTCCCCAGCCCCCCGGGCTCGCAGCAAGCGGCTGAGTCACGCTGCCCCGAAAAGCGCTGCGAGAGGGATGCCCTGCCAAGGGAGGGGGGAGGCGGTGGCAGCCCCGCGGTGCTCCCCCCGCTGCTACCCGCACCACCACCCCCCCCTCCCCGCGCCGCCGAAGCCCCCGACGCCGCGCCGCGCCTCACCGAGCCCGGCCAGCCGCTCCACCAGCCCCGCGGCGCGGAGAGTAGCGGGGCCGTGGTCCACTCCCCGCCGCTTCTGCGAGACAAAGAGAAGAGGGGTGCGTTAGCCAGCGCTGCCGGCGGCCAAGTCCGCGGGCCCCGCCGAGGGGAGACGAGCCGCTGCGGCAGCCCCTATCCCCCCCGCCGCCATGCCCACCTGCCCCCGGGAGAGCGGGGCTCCCACCAGCGCCACGGAGTGCGCCTGCTTGGGCAGCTGGAGCCCCGCGCCCGCCTGCCTGCGGAGGAGCCGGGCGAAGCTGCTGCGCAGGGCCATGATGCAGGCACCGCGGAGCCGCCGAGCGACGCGCGCTGCCGCCCCGCTCCTCTTAACGAGCTCCAGCCCCGCGGCCCGGGAGCGAGGTCCCCGCCCGCCCCCCGCCCCGTGCGACGCCCGGCCAACGGCAGCGCGCGCGCCCGGAGGTGTGTCCCGCCCCCCGCGCCGCAGCCCGTGCGGGGGGGGGGGGGGGGGTGGAACGGGCGGCCAACGGCTGCTCCGCAACGGGCCCCGCCCCGCCCGCCCGGCCTCGCACCTCCCGCCGGCCGAGGCCGCGCCCGGTTCTCCTCCTCCTCGCCGGGGTTTTTCCACTCCCGGCCGCCGCCTCCCCTGGCAGGCGGTGGCGGGTAGAGCTGCCAGCCGCCCCCGCACACCACCACCCCCTCACCCCCCCCCCCCCCGTGGCGGCGGTCCCCTCACGGCCTGCCCCCCACGCGGTCCCGCGGGGCAGGTGGCACCCCGGCTCGCCGCGCCGCGGGCAAAACACCCGCTCAGCCGAGCCCCGCGGCTGGCCACGGCTGCCGGGAGGCACCCCGCAGCAACGCCACGCCGTGGCTTTACTGAAGAGAAACGGGGGCGACGCTCTTCGTCTGATGACCCCGATAAAGCACGAAAAAAGCCACCTCTGCAGCACCGGCCTCGAGTATCCGATCTCAGGGTGTCTCGGCCTGAGGTGATTCACAAGTTACGAAAGCTCACGCTGTTCCTACTCACAGCGCATTTGAAGGATTACAGATTAAGACATGATTTAAACACTAGCAAGCGCCTCCATCTTTCCCTTCTGTGACAAGGCAACAGGATTCCTACTGTCAAATGTGCAACCTTATGTACACATTTGAAAGAAAGGCTGGCAGTGTTTGTGAGAAGAGAGATGACAGGGCGCAAACATGACTAAACTGGGACTTGCCAGTGACAGGAAAAAGAAAAATCCACACACGGTTTTGCCTTTTCTTACTAAGATTTCTAAGTCCTTGCCTCTGTATCTCAGTAACGTCCCATGTCTTTTTGTTAATATGATTTCTGTCTTTTTGTGATGATCATTACTACTCCTCCCAAAGCTCACACTTCCATCCCTTCACTAACCTTCTCACTCTTCCCATTGCTTTTTCTTCCTCTACCCCTCTGAGTTTTCTTTCTCCCTGACCTCATCTCCTAGGCTGTCATATCACACCTCTTACTTAAATTCAGCCCTTCTCACCTGTCATTTCAGACATTTCTTCCTTTTTTGAAAAACCTGTAACTCCAGTTTCAATTTATTATTTTCTCTACTTTCACTCCGTCTGTAAACTTCTTTCACCCTCTTCTTAACTTCAACATTTTCTACTCCATTTCTGCAGTTCATTGTCAGCTGTTATTTCTTCCACTCCAAGGCCAGCTCACCTTTTCTCTTCAGAGCTCCAACCCATCCCTCACCTCAGCTCTTGTGTGACGACAGTGAGATCCTGGACATAGCTGCGTGAGTCTTCCACTAGCGCCAACCATCACCTGCCCCTGCGGGCCAAGCAAAGATTCCAATCAATAGCAATTCCTCAGAGCCCCTTGTCCATTAAAAACTCCTTTGCTCTCCTTACAAGAACCAGCTGGCAGGCTTATATACATAGTATCCACCCAGGAGCAATGAAGATACCATGAATGAAGTAAATTGCTCACAGAAAGATGGTATTTGCAATTAAGCTAACAGAAACATTCCAGGGCTGTGGGAGGGGGGAACAAATAAAAACAGCAAAGAAGTTAGGATGATGGTTTGGAAATTGCGGAGCTGTAGCTTTATGTCATGGGCAGACAAGTCATACAAAGTAATAATTGGAAAGTATTAAAGATAACACAATACAAAGGCTTGTTAGGCCTCTGCACACAAAGCCAAGCCTCCCATTTGTTAGGTACTTAGATGGCAAGGAACCAGAAAACACTGCTTTAAACTTTGACAAAAAAAAAATACTGAAAAAAAAAACACAGAAGGGCTTGTAGAAATGGATGGTACGGGCAAAAAGACACATTTACATCGTAGGAATTGGTAAATGGGGGAAAAAACCCATCTCTCTTCATCATGGCAAGAGACATACGCAGCAATACAAAAACTTGTGCCGTTTTAAACTGCTGTTTAAAAAAAAAACCCAACAAACAAACAAACAAACAAAAACCACACACAAAAAATTAAAAGACAAAAGGGAGCAGTCAGTGAATTATCAACATTTGCAAACCGCAGAAGCTCCTGACGTCGATCAGGACGGAGGGAAGGCGCCTGGCGAGGTTTAACCCGGCGAGGCGCTCCAGCGGCAGCACCCCCGGGGCGGGGCGGGGCGGGGCGGGGCGGCAGCACCCCCGGGGCGGAGCGGGGCGGAGCGGAGCGGCGCGGCAGCCGCGGCAGGGCCGGGCAGGGCCGGGCCGGGCCGGGCCGGGCCGGGCCGGGCGTGAGGCGCTGCCCCTCAGCTCCCCTCAGCGTCCCCTCCGCTCCCCTCAGCCGCGGCGGCCACGCGCCCTCCCGCGGCCCGCCGGGCGGGCGATGGAGGAGCGGTGGTACCGCGCGGCCTCGGGCGCGCCGCTGTCGCTGCGGCGCCGCCAGCACAGCGCCTCCTGCCGGGAGCTGGCGGTGCGCGGCCCCCGCCTGCAGCTCCGCTCCCTCAGCGCCCTCACCGCCGCCGCCTGGCTGGCGGCCTACGCGCTCTTCCTGCTCACCCAGGTACCGGCCGGACCCCTCCGCGGCTCAGGGATGAGCCGGCGGCACCCCGGCCGGAACACCGCGGCGGGAACCGGGGACGGCGGTTGGCACCCGAGAGGCTCGGAGGCGGTGGGGGGAGCCGCGCGGCCGCTGCCGAGCTGCTGCGGGGACGTGGGTACCGCAGGCCGAGGAGGAGCCGTGGGAAGGCGGGCTCCGCGTATCCCGGGCGTCCTCCGTGCTCAGGGAACGCCGCGGTGGTCGGTCGTGATGAGTAGGTGGTGAAAAAGAGGGAACGGTGCTGGCCAGCGTCCGAGGGCCCACGTGCTGGGGCACGGGTGCCCTTGGCGGCTTCTTGGGTGCCTCTGTTGGTTTGTAGCCTCTTGCCAGCGAGGGTGGATGTACGTATTGGTGTTGAGCGATGCCTAGGGCTTTCCTGTGAGTCCAAATAACAGATGTTTGCTTGGAGAGATGAGTTGCAGGCATCTGAAATAAAGGATATATTGAAGAAAGTAAGTGTTAATCCTCGAAGAGGCTTTCCTGAGTGACTCGGAGCCCTGACCGAATGTCACCTATTTGCTCATGTTTCATAGCTGAGGCAGTAAGACCTTGGCAGTACAGGTTTCAAAAGCTGCCAATAAATCTAAAAGTATTAGTTTAGATATCAGATCTGCGATCCATCCTCACAGGGAAGGACCAGCTTGTAGACCTGGACCAGCTATCTCTAGATTGAAGTCAGTAGCTTGACCGAAGAAGCTAGTGACTGTGACCAATGCTATGACAGTTGCATTTCAACTTTTTCAATAATCTTTCCCGGGGAATGAAGACAGAGATTGCTATGTGACTCAGCTGGCAGGTTTCCGACACAGGAAGATGATTCACATGCCTCTAGCTGGAAAGGAAGCTACCTCCTAGCTTTGTTTGTTACAAAAGCATACACCCCAGCCAGTCACCAGTGGTCACCACCCACTGTCCTCCTGCGTGGTGTGACATGTGCTCATGCAGCTTGTAAAAACAAGTGACTGCAATCCTTCCTTTCTGCCAGGAAACCAGACCTGAACATCTCTTTCAGTGTTTGTAATTTATGTTTGTGGTTTTTAGCATGATGACAAACTTTTGGAGAAGTCCTGTATCCTTTCTGTGTGAATGTGACCACGGCTTCTTTACCTCACATGATGGCACAGCTTGAGTGGTAGGGCCATGCAGTTTGGTTCTTTAGGAAATATCGGTTATAACTGTGATTCACGGGTATGCAGCCTACAGCTCTCTAAAATACATCACAGAAATAGGTCATAGGGTGCAGACCTTTGGGATTTATTACCAGGTCTTCAGGTGACTTATTGTTGACTTTAGTTTCATCCACTATATATTTTTTTCTGTAACAGCAATCCCAAGATTGCAGCATGCAAAAGATGGTTTTTTGCATGCTGCAATCTTGGGATTGCTGTTACATTAAATAATATATAACTCATGAGAGCATCGTCATCAGTCGAAAGCAAATGTCCTTTAGATTGGTATTTAAGGCAGGAAGAGAGATAAGGTTTGAAGGAATTTAGACTTACAGTTTGTAAGAAAACCATTCGGTCAGTGTTATTTTCCTAAAAGAGTTTTGTTCCTCTTGGAGACTCCAGTTCCAGTAAACATTTCTCTGTTTGTCACATCATCTCTATAAACATTTATAGAATACGCTGTCCCTAGCTGGTTTTGCTTGAGATTTCTGCACTGAATTTACAAGGGAGTAGAATTTTCTTGCAGTTTTCAGTTTTGGCTCCCAGTTCAGTTTCAGACCATATTGTGACAACTGATATAAAACTCATTACACATGTATCAGCCAGCCAGGTGAATAAAAGGACTCCACCTAAGTAAAATTGCCTTGTAACTGTAGCTTTACTATTATAATTTTCTGTGCAATATTACTTTCTCTAGAGCTGCATTCAATTAATTGTAAGACCAGAGCTCTGTCTTTGCTTGTTTTGTGTTACAGAACAGTATGGTGCTTTCTGCTGCTATCTTCATCACGCTGATTGGCCTGATCATTTACCTGCACTTTGTGAAAGTTGACCAGGAATCGCTGCTGGTCATCGGCTCACTCGGCATTCAGGTGACTTCATCCTATGCTTCAGGGAAAGAGAGCACAACCTTCATTGAGATGGGTCGGGTGAAAGACGTGGTTATCAATGAAGCCATCCATATGGTAATCATACACAGTCTTTCTTCTTGTGTGTCCGTGGGAACACTCACATCCAGCACATTTTCATGAGCGTGATTTACCAGAGCAAGTAAACGCAGCACCATCCATAGCTTTACTGACATCAGGAGCTTTGTTTCAGATTTCTCTCTCTATTCTCTTATCTGTTCTCTCACCTTTAAAGGAGAACTCAAGCCAACCAAATAACCTCAAAAAGCCAAACCCACCCCTTAGGTGATGACACTGACACTGAGCTAGTGGTTTGAGTTCTTTGTATTGTACTGTTCTTGCAAATCCCGATGCCAAACTCCATAAGTAGTCAAGACAGAGATAAGTAGACAACACAAGAGATGATTTTTCCTATTGCTGGGGATTTCTGCAAAGCTCCTGTAAAAAAGATCTTACCCTTCCAGCATGTATGCGTTCATGTCAGCTTAAAAATTTAATAGAAAAAAACACAGGTAAAATTGTTTTTTTATTGTGTGAAGCGAGGAAAGCTATAGACACAAATTTGTAGACTTGACTGTGGTCTGGGGTGACTGGCCTTCAGCCCAGTGAGTTGAAACTGATCTTCTTTCTGTGATAACTCCAGGCATTTGATAGCATTTTCAAACTTTGATGATTTTGTCTGTTTGTCTTGTAGCAAAAAGTTATCTACTACCTGTGCATCCTCCTCCAGGACCCTGGAGATCCTCAGGGAATATCTGAGGTTGTGCCACTCTTTCAGGTGAGTTTGAATGCTGGAGAAATCCAGATCTGCAGTCTGTGTGTGTGCACCAGTTGTCTAAGCGTATCTTTATTCCACTACAGGCGGCTGATTACAGTTGCCTTTCCCCAACTGGGCCTTCAGGGTGGGTAGTATTAGAACTTTCACAGAACTACGTACCGGGGAAGGTTTTTTTCATTTGCCTCCATTCAGAGAACAGGGAGCTGTGTAAATCTGAACCCAAGCAGGAGTTTGCATGAAGTAGAAGTCTTTGGCTCACGTAGGGTACTGAGGCCTCACACAGCTTTCTGTGTAGTCTTAGGCTCAGTGTTACCATCATATCTATGGCACTGTGCTGCCGTTGATTTTTCTCTCAGGTCTGCGTGCCAAAAGTGTTCATAGAAACCTCCTTGGCATTAGAATGACTTCCCCCATCTCACCCGTTGACAGGGATCACAGTACAAGCTGTGAGCAATTTGCTTAATGTATAATAACTTGTTTGCTTTACCATTACCCTGTCTCCCCTTTCTCTTCTCCTGCTAACCTGTACTGGCTGTTCATAATCCCATTTTTGGGATAGATCTTCTTTCTGTGTCTGCGTGCCTAACATAACAATACCTTGATCCTTGAGTGGTGGTAAACAGTACAGAGGTACCTCACATCTTAGGCTGCTGAGGTTTATAGCCCTCTCTGTCCTTCTTAATTCACCTGCTGCTGGTGGCTATCATTTTGTAGTCCGCATCTAGCTTATGACTGGATACAGTTAGTCTTCAGCTAAATACTTACAGGTATAAGTAGACTATTCCACTGATACTTGCTACTAACTCAGTCCCAGAATTGTAAAGACGTTTACTAACAGTAGTATAAATTAAGTATTTCACACATAGTCAGGAGAAAAAAAATGGATTTGCTGGAAATCAGCAACTAATAAGTTCCAGAGAGCTGCAACCAGGAACCCGGTTTTAGTTAAATGTGTTCCTTTCCAGCTTCAAAGAGGCTGCCTGACATTTGTGTAGTTTTGCTTTTTTTCTAGCTCAACTCTGAACAGTTTAATTTTCATGGAAATATCTTAGCACGGGTAGAGTTGACTCCCCTAGCAAAGAAGGCACAGAAAGAGCTGTGTCAGTTTGCAATTCATTACCTGTCAGTAATTCTCACTTTAACGTGCAAGTTAGTGTGTTACTTAGTTTTGAAGGAACAGTAATTAGTAACTTTATTGCATCTCCTTCATTGGGTTCCTCTAAGTTATGTCAGCCTCTAAAAATATAATTTACCCTGTTACTGAGCCCAGGAGCACTTCTGCACTGAATTGACCTATTGTTCTCTTAAGCAACACTTGCAAGGAGAGGCGTTTGATGGACTTTACACAGTAATGCTCTTTTGGGAGCTCAAAAGTCATGGGACCATAGGGACTGTGGGGCTGAGAAACTTTCACCTCCTTGCTGGTTTTAATCTGGTCCAGGTTAGAAGTGATGGAAAATCATTATACTTTGACCACCATTCACTGTATGTGTGAAATTAATTGCTGTTTTCAGTTAACATGCCGTTGTCCTTTTGCTGACAGTACTAGCAGAGGCCAAGGGCCAGGTGTCTAAATTCCCTGTCCTGAAGGTAGATTTTTTGGGGTGGAGGTCTTCTAGGATGGTGGATTAGTGTATGGAAATCTGCTGTTTCGTAGGTCTCTAGAGGGAGTACGGCCTAATAGTTAGGTTAGTGGGTTGGGAGGTATAGATGTTCTTCCATGCTGTGCACTGCGAGCTGAGAAAGGGAAGGAATTTTGATTTAGTGAGAGATTCAGGCTAATGGCAGAATGGTGCTGCATGCTTTGACCTGACAGCTTTAGGGACTGGTGTTTTTCTTCACAGAGCAGGTATGACTTATGGAATGGCTTTGCGTTCCTACATCACCATATTTCATCAAACACCTCCTGGAGTTTGATGGTTTACTTCTCAACGAACATGTAAAAGGGAAATTATTCTCCATTGACTTAATATGAGAAAGCTAATCAACTTCAGACTTCTTGCTGTCACATTCCTTATATGTGCATGCTTCTGATAGTCAGCTTTGTGCCAGCTATCCCCACATTCCTTTCTCTGCCTGACAATCTCACTAGTGGGAAGTTAAAGCTTTCCAGCTCTTTTACTGCCAGTTCAGAGCCTGATTCTCTGTTGTTTGACTTAAATTCTAGAGCTCCAAGCCACGGCTGGACTGTTTGATAGAAGTATACAAAAGTTGTCAAGAAATCCTGGAGCAAAGGAAGACAGCTCCACAATCAAGTGGAATAAAATAGTAAAAAAAAAAAAAAAATCAAGGCAGCAAACTTGCAGCAGGAGTCAGAGACGCATGTGGGAAAGCAAGCAAAACTGGCCCATCGCTTTTTTTAGCAGTACAGTGGTGTTAGGTCTAAAGGCCCACACAGGCTCACAGAGTTGTGAGAGCTAATGTTGGCTCAAGCACTGAAGTGAACCTTGAAATCCTCTGCTATGAAGATAGGTGAGCAGAACTTTTTTGACTCAGACAGAAAAGGTTTCTCCTTGCCTGTCTGGAAACAAATTATGGGGAAACAGGGCAAAGGGAGGCAGGAACATGCATCAAATGTTGTAGTGTTTTGTGGATCTGAAAATTATGATACACTCATAATGTAACCTTGGCCAGACTGTCAAAAATATTATTTCTTTTTTTTGTTTCTATTTAACCCTTTGTTTGAAAAAAAGCATATGCCACTCTAAATACCAAAGCAGATGTGTGGGCTGGGATGGTAACTTCCTGATCCACAGGAGAATTTCAGAAATAAAGTATCATATAATTAAAATACACTGTTGCATTCAATTACGTTTAATGAAATAAACATAGGAGAGCAGACTTTGGCCTCTTCAGGGATCTGCTTGAAGTCCCATGGGATGGAGCCCTAGAAGGAGGAGGGTTCCAAGAAAGCTGATTGATAGTCAAGGATCACCTCCTCTAAGTTCAAGAACAGCCCATCCCAATGATCAGGAAGTCAGGTAAAAATGCCAGGAAGCCTGCATGGATGGACAAGTTGCTTCTGGCAAAACTCAAACACAGAAAGGAAATATGCAGAAGGTGGAAGCAAGGACCGGATCTGGGAGGAATACAGTGACACTGTCTGAGATGTGGTTAGGAAAGCCAAAGCCCACCTGGAGTTGAATGTGTTGAGGAACGTCAAAGGCAACAAGAATGGCTTCTGTAAGTGCATAAGTAGCAAAAGGAAGACAGGGGAAATGTGGACCCATTGCTGAACGGGGCAGGAACATGGTGACACGGGGCACGGAAAAGATGCGGCATTAAAAGGGCCACATCAATCGCTCTAAGAATATGAGGTAAGTGTGTTGTTGAAAATGATGGTAACGACTATGTGAATAAAGTTTTATTGATCTGTGGTCTCAGGATTAACTTAAGGTTGGGAAGTTCTTCACTGATGAGCTGAAAGTTACTGTAACCTTCAACTGGTATTTTTCACTTTCTTTCCACGACTCCTTAGTAATTTAATGGAGACAAATGTCAAAATAAGAGCTAAATCAGCATGTTGGCAGGAGCCTAGGGGTACAATGCTGTACTGTGCTGGTCTACATAATCTGTAATTAAAACATGTGGCGACATGCCATCATGCAGTGTGGTAGAGATAAGGTGATTTTTTTTTTTCACGGTACCATGAAGTTTGAAAGACACAGGTTAGTTCATGTCACAGGAAGCGTTCTTGTCGTTCAAATGAAAGGCAGCAGCTTGGAGATGTGCCACTGGCTTTTGGGTAACATTGCCTAGATTACTTCATTTTTTACGGTTTTATTTCTTATACATACTTTAAAGGTTGGTGTTGGCCAGATTTTTTGTTCCATTGCTGCCCTAACATAAGTTAGTAGGTCTCTCTGAAGCTAGTGAAGCTGCATCCGGATGCAAACTGTGTTTGGTTGCAAGTCCAGGCAGAGCTGGGAAGAGTGGGTGTTGGGGCAAGGGCAGAAATTGGCTATTAACAGTGGCAGCAGGCCCTGGGAACGTGACTGTGTCAGTGACTACGGCAGAGGTCCTTTGACTAAGAACCATGTGGTATACTTGAGTTGCATAAGGCTCAGGGCATGGCTCAGCCAGGCTGTGTTTCTTCATGGGGAGGAAAAATGGTCATGATTTGGTAAGCCATGGGGAGAACGTCAGAAAGTTAACCATGTCTCAGCAGAATGAAAAGAGTCTTGGGTTTAAGAGTGTGCTGGGAACACTGACTGTGCTGTAAAAACTCCATGAAGTCCTAAAAATGTGCACTGAAGAAATGACCAAGTAGCCATGTCACAGGAGGAAGTTTGAAAGGTTGTTTTATCCATCTTCTGAAGGAGTGGACATCCTGGGCCCATGGGAGTGCACTTCAGCCATCTGCTAGAGCTGAGAGAAGATCAGTAGAGAGAAACAAGGAATCTGACAAGGGCAGGTCTGGTAAATGCCTGGATACCAAACACAACCTTTGTCCATTTTTGTTTACATCGAGACTATTTTGGCTTTTTAAAGAGTTTCTTTGATTCCGAGAATAATACAGTTTAATTCATGATAACTGCATTTTATTAAAAACAAACAGAAATCTCACAGTATCTCCCAGACAGCCTTTTAACATACACACAGCAGTTAGGAAAACAAAGGCTTCTGTCATCTCATTCTATGCTGTAGCAGTAGTCATTGCCAAAAGCATTGATTAAAACAAAAGTTATTTTCTCTACCAAAGAATCATACAAAATAGATATCTACACAGGGTTGGTCGATTGAAGTCAGGTAAGCTATAAATAGGAGGTATATGTGCATCCATCAGTGGGGTGGTCCCTGCAATACTCAAGTATTGGTGAATATTTTTAAGAAATAAGGAAAAAACCAAAAGTCTATATGCCATGCTTCTCAATTTAAAGTGCAGCTGTGGCAGAAAATAATGAACTTCAGGACAGCTCTTGCTTACTCAACAGCTCTGCTTCCTGTTTGCCCTTGTTCAAGTCTCTAAGGTCATCAGGGTTAGCACTGTAAGTACAGCCTCTGAACCATGGAGACCTTCTAGGCCTTGAGCATCCCCAGCACCGATGACAGGTCAGTTATTCTGAAGCAGCTTTGTTACTGGTGGGATACAAGAAGCAAGCTGCCAAACAGACCTTCAGATACTGGAGGAATTGTTAGGCACGGGTGACTGAGTGAAGAGGAATGATGCTCTCTCAGTTGCAGCTCTACTAAGATCACTTTGTGTGTGAGAGAGGAAATACATACTACTGACAACTCTATCAGGAGATAGAGTCACTTAAAAGTATCTAAGAAAAAAAAAAAAAGACTAAATACCTTCTCAAAATTGTTTTTGGCTCAGAAAGCTTCTACCCTTTTCCGTAACTTCAAGGGATGGTCCTTAAATTCATAACAAGTGGATATGTTACAGTGTGTGCAAATCAGGCCTCTGTTCATACAGTCCTTTCCTGCCTTACATCTGCCATACTGTTTCCACAACCCACCATGGGGTGGTTTGGATGGTTTTGTTTTGTTTTTAATATTACAAAGATCCTGATAAGGGATTGCTTAAAATGATTTTTGTCTGTCCCGTGCTCTTCTCTTTTAATTTGTGGCTTTGCTCCCATCATAAGTATGAATCAAAATCTTCTTGAAGTATCAGGTCCACTGTGTGCATGAGTTGGATGTTTCAAGGTTGGTGGCAGGTACTAGGGAGTAAAAACACTGCTATGGTTGGTTTGTTCATTTGCAAACAGCTTTGGTTTGCTATTGCTGAATTCTTTCTAATGGTTGGATTCACACTTTTAATTTGGGAAAGTTGCCCATGAATGCATAATTATTATGAATTTGCACATGGTACTTTTGGAAGGTCAGTTGTTCTTCCTTAGCTTTTTTAGAATGCATATCAAAATAGCTGAACTGAAGCCAGGTAGATTTAGATTTTGCAAGAAAAATTGCTTTTTTTTCTTTTATTTAAAATCTATTAACTTTCTCACTCATAACCAAGTTCCTCTGAAATAGATTAAAAAAAAAAACAACCACCCTATTCTCTAGGAAAGTCAGAAGAACAGTACTTGTGTACACATTTGCTGACTACCTCCTCCTTGCTATGGTAGCATGAAGGAAGCAGGAGTTTGAAAGAAGCAGCTTCTGTCAAGTCAGAATGACAGAGTTGATTTGGGAAGATCTGTTCCAGTTGCTGAAGGACAGAAAAAGTACAAGATTTGCTTGCCTTGTCTTCCTTTGTCTGAGATTATGTGCAGTTTCAAACACATCCCAAAACATCTACAACAGTGATTAGCAGAGAGAGTCTTTGAAAGTGCTTGTCTGACAGCAGAGTATGTGACACATTCAGCCCCGGCAGCAGAGATCTAATGTTCATCTATTGCATAGAACTGCGTCAGTTCCTGAAATGCATCAGTCCTGGAAGAGCTGGGGCATCATATGACACTGTTGCAGTTTGTTTTGAGTCCTCAACGTGCAAAGACACTAAGATTCTACCTTTAAATAAAGTTGAAACTATTCTTGAGTAGCACTGAATTCATTCTATATTCCCTACTTCAGGTCTGAAATTACCCTTGACTTGTATCGGAATTATTCTTGTCAGTTTAGTTCCTTTTCCTTCTCAACAGTGTCTTCTTTCTTTCTTTCTTTCTTCTACATCTGGAGCAAGGACTTGGAAAGTTTCTGTCTTTCAATTTTAGCATCAGTTTCAGGGAGGAGTCGTTATAGCTCTAGGGAAAATTAAATCGTCCTCTGGGTTGTGTTAAGCAGTTGCATAACAACTATTAGAGTCTCTGCAAAGAGACTATCTTAATAGTTGTTCTGGGAGTGGCAACACTGAAATTAAATACTGGTAAAAACTTTAATATAATGACTATTCACAACCAGAGCATAGAGCTGAAGTTATGTCTAAACTACCTGATCAGACTATGTCAGATTAATCTTTACACTCTGGTAATAGCCTTTTCAGTGGATATCTACTTACGATGCAGTGATATGCAGCTCCTCATACAGGCAGCGTTCAACAAGACGCATCCTTGTACAGGGTTCATGCCACATGCCACAGTATCCATTACCACCTGGTTTTACTGCTAATAGGACTGTGTGCTCAGCCCACTGCAGTCAGATTCACATCTGTATACCACTCAAATCTGCCTTGCAGAGGTTGTAGTCTAATTTAGGTAAGAAGTGAGGAAGTTAGGGATTGATGCAAACAGAAGGCTACTGGAAATAATTATAATAACTGAAAGGGGCTATGATGAGGAAAAGAGATCACTGGGAGTTCTAAGAGCTGGACTGAGATTCCAGACACAGGGTGTGCAGTCATCTAGAGGCAGGTGCAAAGCTGAAAATGAGATGGATCAAAGAAAATGCTTGTGCTTGTGAGCAAAGCAGTAAGATCAGGAGACAGAAGAATGGATGCAAGGAAAGAGAGCAGCAGATGTGACTGGAGCACTGTGCAGGCAAATGACCTGAGGCATGGTATTTTGGATGGAGTGTGGCATGGAAAGCAAACTCCTGCACAGTCTCCAAAATCAACAATTGATTTTTAAGAGAAAGGACACTGCCCCTACCCACACTAAGGAACTTCGTCTGTTATTATGGAAAAAGAATCAGAGCCCACATTAAAGTAAGGTGTGTAACCAGCAAAGTCATAGCAGTCTGCAATTCAGTAAAGAACAGTGCAAAAAAACCCCCAAAACAAAAAACCCAAACCAAAATCCCCAAAGTCATTTGGAATGAGCCCTCAGAGCAGGGTGGGCCCCTTAGTGCTTCGGGGCACAGAAGGAAAAAAGCACCGATTTTCAGTCTCCCAGAGTTTGTTAGCAG